AAAACTAGTTTCCTTGTCAAGCTACTAGTATGTTATTACTGAATATCCCCATATATATAAATCTGATAATATCCGCTAAAATATTTTTTCTCTTTGAAGAAGCTATATTGTTCATGAAACTTTTTTTGATATATTCCTTATATAATTATGCAGGGCGACAGAGCCAGATTTTGCATTTTGACTTTCAAAAATTTATAATAAACAAATAGACTACAGACTACTAACTGCACCTGACCCGCGAGGAGCTACACGATCTGCACGTTATTTAAAATTTAATTTTGATCTTTTTTTCAAAAAGTGGCTCTGTCGCGACTTGCTAATGATTCTACTGATTACGAATATTACGATTTTTTTATGATTCCCTATGTATTTTGGCCATAATAATGTATTAGCGAATCCGTAATTCACAGCCGGTCGCGAGAAGTCTCCACGCTGTCAGTCGACCCTTAACCTACGTTTACGTTAAACACATAGATCTTATATGTATGGATTGGTAATACAGATATGATTATGTCTGCGAGAGATTGGAGAGAGAAATGTCTCTCTTTTTCCAAGTGTCTGAAAATACGTTTTGCGCATACTTGACATATACTATACATTAATGCATTCTTATTGATGTATAATTATGCAAGTTAAAGGAAAGTTGGACATTATTTGTACGTTATTTGCAGAGTATCGTATTTGCGAAATATCGATAGGAATATCACATTATATTTCTAAAAAGAAATAATGGTTCGAAAGTATGTTATTTGCAGAATAAGTTATTCTGCAGAAAATAGTGTTTCTTTTCATTCGTAAGTAATAATGAAGCAGGACTTATTGTAAAGTAACATATATTAAGCATACTTTAATAATTGTAGAAGCATTTGTGAAATTTTTTTATTTTACAAATAAATAAATAAATTTTATAAATTTTGAGAGCTTTAAATTATAAATTCAATTCAATTATCATATTCTTAATATATAATAATTCTTAGAAAAAAAATTATTTAATTGTTTCATTTGAAATTAAAAAAAAATTTACATTCTATTATCCATTTTTTAAACAGATTTTATTACATTAGAACATTAGGTTCGCGTTGCTTAGAATTTTCAATATTTAAAGTAGAATAGATATATTTGTGAGCAATGGAAAAAAAAAGAACAAGAAGCTTAAGTGCAATAAGTATAAACAACACGAATCGCCTATTTATAGAAAACTATTTATTATTAGTCTCAAAACATTTATTGTTCAAAATATAATTATAACTATCATATTTTTCCAAAAACTCGCATTTTTAAAAAGAAAATTAATCTTCTATAATTTCATTATTTAAAAAACGAGTGTATTGTGTATCATGTATATAAAATAAAACTATATTAGAAACTATATATAAAACTAAAATTTAAATATGCAGCAATGCATGATTCATTAAATAAATTGTAATTCTTATTTTACTCTTTTTTTATTATTTTACAGATTATAAAACACATTACCATACATTTATTACTTTACATTACCATAAAAAATAAAAACTTCGATATAGAATTATATATCGTTTATTTTAAAACTCTTTCTTTATTTTTTTTATTTTATTGCATTTTATATGTTTGACTATAAAATCTTTCATTCTTTACTCTTCATCAACATTTATTATTTTCGATCATATTATTATATTAATCCGCCATATGCTTCGAATTTGCAATACATATTTTCGGACATCTTAAGAGAAAGAAGTATCAAAAAGTGCGTCTCTCTGTCTAACTTCCCGCGGACACTGTTTCTTATAGCAATTGCTATAAGAGAACCTATAGCAATTGCCAGTCCATATTTATAAGGTCTACGGGTAAACGCTTCGTCTCGTTTTCTGCCATCAGCCTAATACTATAAAATGGTATAGTATTGTATAGTGAATGATTGCAACAGCGATTCTGATAAATGTAGCGGTAAAAACTCGCATGTATATAAAAGTTCGAGAGATAAACAGATGGTTGATAAATGATATAAAAAAAAGAAAAAATGAAAAAAATTATTTCGAGCACAATTAAATAAAAATTATTTAATACTGATGAACATTAACTGGTTCAGTGCTTGTAGAATTCAAAAAGCAAGATTGGTCTGCAATGATCAAACTCTAACCTCCTTGCTCATGAACGTATTTGTTGCCTCTTCGGCAACAAATCCGTATCTACAAGTCAAAGCTGATAAATTCTTCTCATCCGGAGATCATAGTCGATGGTGTACTTTTCCAGATCATATAAATGGCTCCCCTCTGGAAAACGCATTGTCGATTGGTAAGTGGATATCGTGCCCTAAAACCAATTTTCTAAGTGGGAAAACCACTAACAACTATGATCATGGAACGACTCAGAATCACAGTTTACATACATAAGTACAACAGAAATATTAACAGGAATCATCCAACCAGATCCAGCTGATAATACTGTATATTTTGCATCCAAAGATGCTAAAGATTTTTCGTCTTCGTTCCCCTATAGGATTGGTGAAGCAACGTATAACAGCCTATCCCAATTGCTGAGTAGTAGATGTCGAACCTCAGACTATAGGTCTTATCCGATGAGAGGAACTAACCTTGACGCGGTTCATCGGCTTTAAACCAATAAGTTCCACTGTTGCTAAGGTATTTAATAAAATCATTTCTAAATAAATGGGAAAGAAAAAGACCAGAACACCTAGGTCCTCGAGTGCTACATTAGTCTACACATTCTCAACTATAATAAACTATACTGACAATGCTATAGCCTCTCAAGTGAAATTCACCTATGAGCAGCTTGCCATAGATAAAACGAGGCTATTGAGAATACGTAGATTCAATATGAAAGCCGCCTGTACATCTGGCGCTGTAGCTACAGCCCAAATAGGAATATATGATGATAACAATAACATCTCAGTTCGATCAGCTCCAAAAGTAATTGGAGCTAATCAAACAAGTGTAAGTGTCGCTATGCCTAGAGTCCAAGATTTCTACAGCATAGTAAATCCTAAATACCCTGCAGTAATAGTGGAATTACTCCACGGACAACCAACTAGTGGAGATGTGATCCATGTGGTCATAACTGGTTCAGTGCTTGTAGAATTCAAAAAGCAAGATTGGTCTGCAATGATCAAACTCTAACCTCCTTGCTCATGAACGTATTTGTTGCCTCTTCGGCAACAAATCCGTATCTACAAGTCAAAGCTGATAAATTCTTCTCATCCGGAGATCATAGTCGATAGTGTACTTTTCCAGATCATATAAATGGCTGAACCAGAAACGCTGTATATATTTTATAATAAATCTGTATAATAAATCTTATTTGTTTTTCTATATTCTTGTACTTTATATTTTGTACTGTAAGAATTAGACGACCGTAAGCGGTCATGAAAGATTCGGAATATAAAGAGCTAACAAAGAGCCGTCGTGGTCATGCAGACTAAGTGTCGGATTGGTAGACGAGGGATCCCGAGTTCAAATCCAATCGGTCTCCGTTAATTTTTCCGAATCTAATAGATATCTTTCAGTACTTTATTTTTATTTTGTACTATGTTTCAAGTTACTGTTAATACTTTTATAAATATTGCATAAATATTT